TTGTTCGCCTAAAGGGAATTGATCGTAAATTACAAGCGTCATTTGGTCGACATTGTGGTCGTACAGGACTAGTTTCGAATAGGTACTATTAGTGATTGGAAGGTCGTTTTGAAGTTATCATTGGTCTCAGTTAAGATTATCGTTCTACTATCGGGTACAATATGAGACAGTACGTTATAATGACACTATTTAAGCTATTTTTCTTCACAAATTATTTTCAATTCAAAATTTTTTTTTTTAATTTTCTAAATATTTTCGACTCTTGAAAAAAAAATTAATTTTCTTTATAACCCATTTCGTCCGAGAAGTCTGTTTTTTCCCCCTTTAACCCTTAAACTGGCACCATGGGTCCAGTAGACCCGAGTATTTTTTTCGAGCTCAAATTAATTGCATGTATAGTTTATTACTTTGACATATTTTTAGTAATTTTGTAAGTTTTTTGATACAACTAATTTGATACAAAAGAATAAATTAGATTCAAACATTAATTTAATAAGAATTGAAACTTTTATTCGTACATGTGCGCCAAAAATTTATATCTAATACTATATCATTTGACACAAATTTTTCTCATGCAGCTTTGGGAAAACTTGTGGAAAAACTTTTTAAAGTAATATTTCGTTGAAATTCGAAACTTTGAAAAGTTTCAAGTCACACATCTTTGACTCTATAGAGAAATTTCCCAATTTTAGATCATATATATATAGGTTGAAAATTATTTTCTTTCATTAATCGCAAAACTTAAATTTTTGTCACTAAAACAAAAAAGAAACTTATATTGCTGTAAATATTTTGTATTAAAAATAAATTAATTTGATTAAATACTTTAATACATGTATAGAATATAAATGGCAATTATATAGAGAAAAATTTATGAATTTAATAACATGAGTCTCAGTATAATTTTTATTCTACAAATTATGCATTGGAGAAAAATGAAAAATATAACTGCAGGTATGAAAATAAATAAAAATTACAAGATTGCATGAGAATGAGTAATTTCTGAAAAATTATCCCGCAATTTTTATTTATATGAACTATATTTTTACATTGGCTTTCGTGACTACATAATGACATTCTTTAAATGTATTTAACACTTGTACAGAATATTATGCCACAAAATGTCATAAAAAGATTAAATGTTTAATAAGCACTCTTGTGATTTCATCAACGATATTTAAATGACTACTAAAGAGAAGTTCATAACTTTTTTACGCTGTTTATTTAAAACACTTTTTTTATTATTATCTATTATATTTATTGCACTGTAAATATACCCTCATTTTTAATTTTTAAAATTGTTATATAAAATAAAATATATAAATATAAAATTTTTAATATATGTTTTTATATAAATATTTTTTTACACATTTTTTTTTATAAATATGTTATTTAGATATTAAAAAAAATAAACTTTATAAAAATCAATTATCTTCTATTATATTAAGTTAACAAATTTCGAAAAACGACACCGACCCCGTGACCTCGACACCGTCCTTGAAAAATCTATTTTCAATTATTTTCAAATAAATCAAAATACTTTGCATATATGCTTTTAGAAAATCCTACAAACTATTTTTATGTAACATCTTTTTTCAATTTTAACCCGAAAAAGGGTTATTTTTCAATTTTAACCCGAAAAAGGGTTATTTTGCAATTTTATCCCAAAAAAGGGTTATTTTGCAATTTTTTAAGAATTTTTTGATTTTTTCAATTTTTTATTATTTATTGTTGTTTTTTCAATTTTTAGTTAGTAACCTATAATATTGTGTCTAATTTTAAGTGTCATTAAAATAAAATGTTTTCAACTTAATAATTTTAACATTTCTTAATTTAAAACGAAACATCTTCTATTATATTAAGTTAACAAATTTCGAAAAACGACACCGACCCCGTGACCTCGACACCGTCCTTGAAAAATCTATTTTCAATTATTTTCAAATAAATCAAAATACTTTGCATATATGCTTTTAGAAAATCCTACAAACTATTTTTATGTAACATCTTTTTTCAATTTTAACCCGAAAAAGGGTTATTTTTCAATTTTAACCCGAAAAAGGGTTATTTTGCAATTTTATCCCAAAAAAGGGTTATTTTGCAATTTTTTAAGAATTTTTTGATTTTTTCAATTTTTTATTATTTATTGTTGTTTTTTCAATTTTTAGTTAGTAACCTATAATATTGTGTCTAATTTTAAGTGTCATTAAAATAAAATGTTTTCAACTTAATAATTTTAACATTTCTTAATTTAAAACGAAACATCCTCTATTATATTAAGTTATCAAATTTCGAAAAACGACACCGACCCCGTGACCTCGACACCGTCCTTGAAAAATCTATTTTCAATTATTTTCAAATAAATCAAAATACTTTGCATATATGCTTTTAGAAAATCTTACAAACTATTTTTATGTAACATCTTTTTTCAATTTTAAGATAAATTTTATACAATATTAAAAAGATATTAATTTAAAACATAAATTATAAATATAATATACATAAACTACAATAAGTAAACAACAATAAGTACAATTTTAACCGAGCGAGCGAGCGAGGAATACATCGCTAGTTTAAATAAATATGAGAAAGTAAAACTAATTCCGTAATTTTCTATTGCGGAGCGTTTGTATCAGTTTTGGTGTATAAATTTTGGTGACCAAATTACGTGTATTTTGAAAATACTTTGCCCACCGTAATTGGAGCCAATGGAAATCGTAAAAATGTTTCAATTACGGCGAGGGAAAAAATTTGATCTGAAATAATTAAATTAATAATTGTTTAAATGTGCATCTTTATTCGTAGGTGTATCAAAAAAAGATTAAAAGAATTTTTTAAAATCATTTTGCAGCAGTTATATATTAAATATAGTTATTTTTTATGAATGCGCCGTAATTGGTGCACATATCCTAATATTTTTATACTTTTTTTCTCTTCTTTTCATATATGTGAAGGATAAATTAAAGTGAAAACACAATTTTTGGCCACTCTATTTTATAGATTAAATTAGCATGAGTTTATTTTGGTACACTGAGAAAAAAGGTTTGAGCTGACAACCAAATATTTCATTTAATATATGTGCAACTAAAATTTTTTGCTTGACACAACTAAACTTTAGTTGACATCAACCAAAGTTTGGTTGAGACTACCAAATTCTTTTTCATTTTCTTATTTAGTCGTCTGAAACAAACTTTGGTTGTTGTCAACTAAAGTTTAGTTGTGTCAACCAAAAAATTTTAGTTGCACATATATTGAATGAAATATTTGGTTGTCAGCTCAAACCTTTTTTCTCAGTGTAATTTATATAGCTGTCGCATTATAATTTTTATAGTGAATGAATTTCTTCAAAAAAAAATTATCACATGATATTTATTTTGGTGCTATTATAAATTAGTGAGTAAATATCAATAATAATAATTTTTTTGCGTCCTATATAGATGCCACGATTTAGTAATACATTTTTTGCCGTGCTAGTTTTTAATTATTTATCCTCTACAGTAGTTAATTAATTTTTCAATATTATAAATTAACTACATTATTGTAGTCGATTGATGAATAAAATGAGTTATTTGTTAATAAATATAATAAACTAGTTATTTATAAGAATTTTTCAAATAGTGACCAAAAAGTGCAGAAAAGATGGTCACTTGTGGTGCTTCAGTGGCCACAGCTGGTGAAAATGGTCTTTTAAAGCAATTTCATTTTATTTTTTGAATAACAAATATAGGTAAAAATTGTTCCTGATTATCATAATCAACTTAATATAATAATAGATAAGTTGAAAAACCCCTTTGTTTGAAATTAATTTTAGAAAACAAATTTTTTATAAATAATTTTACAAACTACTATTTTTTTCATTATTTATTTTTCCTTTTTTTTGCACACTGTAGTGTTGAGTATGGGAAACACATTTAGTGGTCTCTTGAGTGAAGATAAATTAACTCAGACAGAGGAGTTAATACATGAGAAATTAGGTATAAAAAGAAAAATTGTAGTTACGCCCATAAAATTTAGCCTATCGTCTAATAAAATTAAGGGAAAAAAAATGCGATAAAAGTCTTTTGTACTTGAGGTGTTAAAAGTGAAACGACTTTTTTAAGAAAGTTATAAAATAAACGTGTCTTTAAAGATAGTAATATTTTTTATGAGGTCGCTAAAGAGCCTTCGGCATGGAAGATATGAATCTCGAGACGTTTCTTCAAAAAGACGCGATGTCATGACGATGCTTTTTTAAATAGGGGCATAATGTTGTTATTAGCATTACAAGTCAATCGTTAATCGATCCCCCTAATTGCAAAAGTACTTTAGACTCTCATTACTATGTTTATATACCTTTCCATTTAATGTCGAAAGATTTTATTTTAGTTATATTTCTTAAACTCTAATGGATAAATTTCTTTTCAGTATAGGTATTTAAAAAAAATGTTCTTTTAAAAACTTTTCGAATGTCGATAATTTTTCCTCATCTTTGAAATGAATAAAAATGTTTCTTTTTTTAAATAAAAACTAAATTTTCAAGATTCGAATCAATTTCTTTTCAAGAGGCGATTTAAGTGAAAAAAAATTCTTCTAGAATTGATAAGATCTTCTTTTGGATAATTTTGCATATTTAATGACATTACTTTTATATTAGTAACTACTTTATATTTGAAAGATTATTTATTTCTCTTTTGAGAAAGAAAGTTTTAATCATTTCTCTATTTGAAATTTGTTTTTTTTTTTACAAAATAATTATTTTGAAGAGCTAAAAGTTGTCTATATTTGATCAGAAGATGACTAAATGATAGACTAGGGAAATTAAAAAGCACTTGGCTTGTGGAAAAAAGTTTGTATGGGTAATTGGAAAGGCACGTAAGAAATAAACTTTAAGAGAGGGCGAGAAAGAAAATGAGAGATGATTTTTTGTCGCTCCTTTTCTCACATTTTAGAAAACAACGTATATATATATATATATATATAGATATAAAAAAGACAATCGAATAAAGTAAAAAAGTTATTCTGACCTTGTCCCTGATCTCTTGTCGCATCTTCTCCCGTTCCTCTTCCATTTTGCGATGCTTCTCCTTTCGTCTCTCCTCAGCTTCCCTGATGGCCTCTTGCCTCTCTCTCTCGGCCTCCTCCTCCTTTTCCTTATCATCTTCATCACCACCACCTTCACCACCAACCGCCCCTGTAAAAAAAATCATCAAAATATATCAAATATTTGAAAAATAAATAAAATATTTACTCTAAAAATAAAGTTTTAATCTTCCATTTTCTCTTCCTCCTCTTTCCAGTAAAATGACAAAGTTCTTTATAAAATGTCTTGATTCTTCTTCTGAAAGTAGACTACTTTGTAGCTTTGATTTTTCAATTTATTTATTTATTCTTATAAATTTTTTATTTTCTTTTTTCAAATTATTTTCTGAAGATGATTTATTAAAATATATATTGAATATTAAATAATAAAGTTATTCAAAATTAATTTATATTCCTAAACTCCAATTGACCGAACTTTAACTTGTCCGAATAGTCATTTGATAGAACTGTTAAGACGTCCAATTTTCATTTGATAGAACTTTTACATATTTGAAAATACCCCTAGTCGAAATATTTCAGTTTTCAAATCTACCAATCAAAAATTATTAAGAAAATTGTGATTGGTTGATTTTTAAAACTCCCGCTGTAATGTTTCGGCCACGTATAGGATCTGATATGTGAAAATTCCACCTAATGGAAATTTAGATGTTTCAACAGTTCTATCAAATGACAATTCGGTGAAATAAAGTTTCGATGAAATTGAAATTATCTCACTTAAAAATTTAGATAAGTAAAATTTCTATTAAATGATATTAAAGAAAAATTAATTTGAATAACAATTTTCTTTAATAAAAGTTTTGTTAATTAAGAATTTTATATAAAAGTTCGGTTAAATAGAAATTTTAGTAAAGAAGTAGTTATACATTGAAATAAAATTTATTTGATTCAAGTAATCGGTTACTTGACTATTATCAAATAAATATTTATTTGAACTAAATAATTTTTATTTGAATTAAATAAACTCTACAAAAATTATTTGACAATATTATTAGTGAACAGATTTTGTAAAATTAATCTAAACATCCAAAATGTTACTTTCAGAAAAATCGCACAATATTTGAAATTAAAATTTAAATCGTAATAAATCAGGGGCGTAGCCAGAGAGAGGGTTTGAGTATTCCAACCCCCCTGAAATTTTGTTATAGTTATGCTTTTCATTATAAGATTAAGATTTGTAAGGCCTGAGCCTTCACAAAACCCCTCTTGAAATTTATTTCTGGCTACGCTCCTGGAATAAATGTTATAAATAATTCAAATATTAAATTAATTTTTATATTCTCATTTAATTTAAAAATACATTGAAATAAGAGGAAATTATAATTTCACTTTTTAGAAAGTTAATTTTAATTTCCATTTTTTTTTTTTTATTTTATAATAATATAAGAAATGAGAAAATTGTGTTGCGTATTTTGCATGCTTTGATAGAAAAAGATATACTATCAAATTTTGAAGAGCTACGAATTATAAATATAAAATGTGCAAAAGCGGTGAACAAATTTTTTTTTTTTACTTTTATTTAAAAACAAATTAGAAAAATTGTGATTGAAGTTTAATTAAAAATTCTCATTAGCTTCCACCTGTGCGTAGAAATTGACTCACTTTACCTTATTTAAAATAGGGCTATTGTCAGGGCCTCCCTAGTTTTCCTTGTTTGAAAAAAATGTAAATAAATTAAGGTTTTTAAAATTACATTTTGTGAAAAAATATATTATCAAAAAAATCTATATACTAGTGTATGAATAATTTTATTAATTTCTACTTTTTTTATTTTCAGAAATTGACACTGATTTTTATAATTTTGTGAAATTTGAATTCTATATGAATTTTTTTCTGCTATTTACTTATTTGTATAATTAGTTGATTAATTTATCAAAAATTTGGAAAAATTTATCTTATTATATTTTGTAATAAATTATTTAAAATGATTATAAACTATTATATTAGATATAAATTTTTTTAAAATAATTTAGTTATTTTGTTATCAACAAAAAAAGATAGTTCAATCTTATAATCCTTGAAGAATTGTTAGTAAAAAATTTGTAAGTCGACGTAGCTGTGGGGTCTACATATACGGCTCGCGTCCCAAGGGTCCTGGGTTCGATCCCCCATGCGTGCGAGATTTTTTCAAAATTATTCTTAACTGTTTTCTACACTGTATATATTTAATATATTTATATGTAATAAAATGTAAAATTTATATAAGGGTGAATCTCTCGAAAAGGACAAATGCTGAATTAAGAAAAAAAAAAAAAAAAAAGTTCAAAACCACTGTTATGACTATTGCTATGTGAAGAGAAGGACCTAAATAAGTCTCTAAAATACGTTGTTACGATCTTTATGAACATTATTGTTTAAAAAATAATTGTTTAATATAAAATAATTGTTTAATATTTTGTCACCGATACAATGATCGAATCCGTTTAAATCTTGTTACTCGAGGGTTTTTGGGGTCGCTAAACACGAATCCGGTGTTAGTTTTTCAAAATTCAAAATGACAGATCCAATATGGCGGACGACAATTTCAAAAATCAGTCCAATTTACTTGAAAATGGTTATTCGGGGGTTTTCGGGGTCGCTGATTACGAATTTAAGGTCCGTTTTTAAAAATTCAAAATGGCGAACGACAGATTTAAACATCCATCCAATTTACTTGAAAATAGTTACTCAGGGGTTTTTGGGGTCGCTGATTACGAATCTGGAATCAGTTTTAAAAAATTCAAAATGTCGGACAATTATCTTTTAAATCTATTTAATTGGCTTCAATATCGTTAATTAGGGGGTTTCAATAACGGTGAACACAAATCTGAAGGTAACCCAAGTAACCATTTTCAAGTAAATTGGATTGATTTTTGAAATTGTAGTCCGCCATATTGGATCCGCCATTTTGAATTTTGAAAAACGGACCTCAGATTCGTAATCAGCGACCCCAAAAACCTCCGAGTAACCATTTTCAGGTCAGTCGGATCGATTTTTTAAATTGTTGTCCACCATATAGGTTCCGCCATTTTGAATTTTTGAAAACGGACTTCAAATTCGTAATCAGCAGACGAAAATCTTGAAGGAACGATTTCGTTTGATTTTTTTAACATTATTATTCGATAATATTACATGTTCTTTTTTTTTGACATGGCCCCCTTTGACCCCCTGTAATTCCGAAAGGGGGCATATGCTCATCTTGAAATTTTGCAGGGATTATTGGGTCATCATATGTTACCATTTGGCATAAAGAAAGTTTCAAAATTCGAGGTACGAAAAAGGTGCATTTTTTTGCATGAGGCTTTATAATCGATGGATGTGACTAGCGATCACGGAGGGGAGTTTTCTTCCTTTAGGCGAAGCCAAAATTTATTGATTCTAATATAAAAATAATAAATTTTATAAAAAAAAGTAATAATAGTATTCGCGATATTTAAAAGAATATTCTAAAAATTATTAATAATATTTATTATTTATTTATCAAAAAACTAAATTTAAAGTGGTCACGGAGGGGAGTTTTTTTGTGTCGACGAACATTGCGAAACTGAAAATCTTTCTGACACTTATTGTTTTCATTTCTTTCATGATGTTGTGTACTGACCAAAACAACATCGTCACTGTAAACACTTTTGAATTCTTCATTTCTCAATTATCATTTTTTTTTTCATTTACTCATTATATTTGTAATTGGTCACGGAGGGGAGTTTACTTTGCGAACAAAACTTATTTAATTCTAGGAAAAAATATTTTACAAATATTCTGTTTTACACTTTATAAATCAATTATAAATAATGTAATTAGTAGATGTTACTAGACAAAAGATGTTTTCCTATTGCAGTATGAATGCAATAATTCTTCTTTAAATAAAACTTACTTCGCGAACGGTAACGGAGGGGAGTTTTTACACTATATAAACATGATTATATTCAATTATTTAAAATTGTCAATTTTTTTTTATAAAATCTTATTAAATTCTGTTGACTTCTATAATAAGGCCCGCAACATTTTCAATTATTATAATTATTTATTAAAAATAATGTCATGAACGTGTCATTTGTCCTTTTTGTGAGAATGACCCATAAATTTAATTAATCTTATCTATAGAAAAGATGAAAATCGTTATGTTCATATTTTGTTCATCTTTAATAGAATATAAATTGTAAAAAGAAATTGTAAAAACCGTCGTTTATTTAAAATATAAAAATATGTTATAAAAAAAAAATTGTAAAATTTAAAAAGAAATTCACACATTTAAAAAAAAAATCAGTTTCATATTGATTTATTTAATGTACCTAATATTGTATAAATAGAAAATTATTGACGAGAGTGATGTCGATAACCCGCCTCTGTATATTATGCAATAATCAATATAATAAAAGTGTTCTTCTTTCAATTTTCATTAGCCTTGATGAAGACGAGGTCAATAAAATTCAAGGCTCCCGTTAAGATTAAGCATAGCAGAGGCACTTAACAATGTTAGTGAATAAGATGCATCAAGTATACATACAGTAAAATCGACTTGGACAACGCCCTCGGGGGGAATCAAAACATCCTACCTAATTCCGCGTTTATCGAACAAACGATGTTGTCTATATAGTTTATCAGTATAAAGGCAAAAGAGGCAAGATGCATACACACGTATATATATATAGCGAAAACGAGGAGAACTTTAAGGTTGAGTAAGGTCATTACTGGGTCAATCCCAAGGGGTGGTTCCTATTAGTAACAGCTTTCGCCAAGAAGCTGAATAAGCGAATTTATGAGACTATAATATAAAATGAAGTCAAAATTACGATCGCTATATGGTGAAATGAACATTTTAAAAAGCTTTATATATAAATATTGTATCGCATATTTTTCATTTTACTATCTGAATTTGACAAATTGTTATGAGATATCGTGAAAATTTAGAGCTAAATTTTTTTTCCTAAGGGGCCCAAGAGCCCTCAAATTCTACGCTCCTTGGTTTGATTACACTGAAAAAATTATATTCTAATTTTCAGAATATCTTCTTCTTGAAACTTCTTTAACTACTCTCTAAATCTGCGAATTAGTAGTTTTCTACTAATGAAAGAGTGCGTATTCGTTTACCAATTGAATTAGTGTTTTGACTAA